TTTCATAACTTCAGGAAAATTATTGATACACAATTTCAGCAAATCTACTCCTTTAATACGTACTCTATATTGAATAACAATACTTTGTGAATCACTTTTGATTATTAAATGAATCTTTCGTGGTTGGATTTTGATTCTACATGCTTGCGTAATTTTTTTTTTTAATACCAAATACAACCTTGTGCTTTTTAGGAAATCAATCTTTCCTTATTCTAACAGGGTTTAGCACAGTTCTAAATTTATATATAACTTATAAGAAGTGTTGATATTTTTATCTCAAAAAGAGTATAAAATAAAATAATTAATGTTTAGTCATTTTATACTGATGGAATTATATTTACTTTATATTAATATTTTAGGCTACCTACATGAAAGTCCCCAGAAATGAGCTAAATCAGCTAATTACACTGTACTGGAGTTACTAATTAAGTCCTTTCCAGATGTTAATTTTTTTCTTATTAAATGACCATACTAACCATACTTTGAAATTACACTCGAGTTTAATGACACGTTCTGTATAACGATTAGTAGCTTTAACTATTATGACTAATGACAACTACAAGTTTGACAACTCCTTTTTATAAATAATAATAACGTGCTTTCAAGTATTAGAGTTTAATGACAAGTTTAGTGATAAATATATCAAATTTCATTATAAGCAATGACGACTACCATCTCATCAGTCAACAAATATTTTTCAAAAACAAAAAATCAATTTTTGAGTTTAGAGAGTTAGTTGTCACCTGGAACTCAATGACAAGCTTCAAATGACAATTATAACAATTTTGATTTTATATAGTTGAATTTTTTTGGTGATTAATAAAATTGACTTTTTTTTGGCCAAAAAATATATAGTCGAATTTTCAGTATGCTCTTGACGGGATAATATATATTTAATAAGGCTATTGTCTCAAATCTCAATCAAATAACATTAAATTAATTAGTATTTAATTTAATTAATATCAATTAAATGAGTTTTAATAATTAAGATATTATAGGTGACTGGGAGATACTCCAAATATTGATCACAATTACTTATATACGTTATTCAAAAGGGAAATAGTAAGATATGATATATTTTCTATCATAAATATGTCACCCACCGTCTCCACAATAAACAGGAGGGACCACCATGAGTAGAAACACAGTCGTGTTCATGAGTTGCTTTTAATTTGTTTTATACAAATCAAGAAAAAGAAATTCAATAACTTTTTTAATTTTATTTCTATTTAATATATATTATATCTAATGTAAACAAAATCTACACAATAATAAATAAAAAGTGAAATTGTACATGCGTATAAAAATTTTTTCTCAGTATCCTATAAATAGGATTAAAAAAATCTTCTCTCTCTAATCTATAAATAAGACCAAAGGAGTATGAAATACATCAAGTGACCTTCTCTTCATAATATTAATTGCCTATAGTAGGAGATAAATGAAATTTTCCAATTTTATATATATTTCATATAATAAAATCAAATTATTTTTAAGAAAAATTTCTTAAAAAGACATTTAAATAATTTAAATTTTTATTTGGGTTATTAAATTCCCCAAACTCCTAATCAGGTATATGCCCCCAATAAGGAGATTAGGTTTTAGATGTCAATTATTGTGTGAGTACATCCAATAGATTGCTCCAAACCCCAAATCCTTATGCCTCTCTCCCTCCATTATTTGTTTTCTAATAGTACCATCAGAGCTAGTAGATCTTGCAGCTGTATTTAAATGCTATGTGATGATAAGCAGTTTATTTTGTTGTGCTGTGTAAATATATGACTTCCACGTTCATATATCCTTGTAATATTGATCGATATGTATGGGAAGCTTTTTAGGAATTTTTTTTTTAAAAAAACCTGTTTAAATCCATCAAAGAGTAGTAAAATTAAACAGTTTAGGATGTTAAATACCTTCAAAATTGGACTCAAATAAGAATTTTAACATGAATGACGGGTATGATCGTGTAGAAGACGAAGAGACGATTGCAAACAAAAAATGTCGATAAATCATTAGGGTCCCCACGACATCTAATAGGCAGGTGGTAGCTCCCAATTACGGTGCAGGTTGAGCTTTATCCTTAACAAGTAGGCTTGTTTGGTAACAAGTCCAGTAACCTGTTGTTAGTTTTTGTTTTTTTTCAGTTTAAAGTTAACTTGTACAAAAGTCTGACCTGATCTGGTTTGAGTTTGTTAAAAAAGTTTGTAATTTTTAAATTTTTAAAATGTATAGTAAAAAATACATAAACTAATGAAAAGCAAAATATACGTATTACATAATAATTATTTTTATTATTATCTTTTATTTAAATTTTAATGTCATAAGTGATATTTTAAATCTTGATTACAGTTAATATTAGTAAAAATAAGTTATAATTATATTTAAAATTTGAAATAAAACTAGATAAAAGTACAAAATTAAAATTAAGATAATAAATAAGCTAAGTCAGGCTTAACAGGCTTCTCAAAAGGCCTAGGCCTGACCTACTAGATTAAATAGGCCTTTGAAAGGCTTTATGCCTATTTCTATTTTGAAACAAGTTAGGCTATAAACCCTTGATCGGCCATCTGAGCTATTTTCATCCATTCTCCCAATATAATTAGTGCAGTGTTGTGAAAGGGAGACAAAGGACAGATAATACTACCTTTAATCCTTAATATAAGAATTAATTAACTAATTTGAATAAATTAAAAAAATTAGCTAAGTTAGTTATTTATAATACATAAGTGTTATTTTTTCTAAAATATCTTTACCGATCAAATATATTGGATAGAACTATCACCATTATAAAGATTATCTTAGAAAAAAAATAAATATAACAGACAAATTGGATTAAAATCTTGTATTTAGGACAAATTGAAAGATAAACTAGCTTTTACATTAAGGACATGATATAGTATTATTTTAACACAGGAAATTATCCAAATTATCCATTCCATACGTAACATGAATAATTATGGGACGGGACACGATGCGAGGCAATCTAGGCTATTCGAAGCTGGGAAAACCCGAATTATGGGACCCTTGTTGGAGATCGATCTAAAACATGCAGCTCGCAAGTTGGTTACGGCTCATTTCTTATTAAAAATCAATTTCCTAACTAGCTATTACTATTATGTTTAGAACCAAAAAGGTGTACTCTGCTCGTTAATTCCGTTTTGCAATTTGATTCTTAGTAACCCCTTTTTTCTTTTTCCTTTTTTTTTTTTAAAATTTTTCGAACATTTTAGCTGCCTGTTACTTTCAACGTTATCTACTTTTTTGGTCATATTTATAATTCACTTCTAACATGCTTGCTTCATACGGACCAAAAAAACTTAAACTTCGTTAATTCTCATTTAAAATTTAATAACTTTCTAACTTTATCTTTATTTAATATACATTATATATTATGTAAATAAAATCAACATAATAATAAATAAAAGTAAAATTATACATCTATACAAAAAATTCGGCCCTATCTTATAACAGGAGTAAAAATTTTTTTTCTCTATTTTATAAATAGAGACAAAAGAGTATATAAAAACATTAATTTCTGTAATGCCGCCGATATAGGTCTACATTGCGCCGGAGCCTAGATTTCTAGACCTATAAGCAGGCGAACTATAAATTGATTTTAATTCTGCAGGACTTGCGATGTTGAAGGGTATGACAAATACACACGCCTTTTTTAAGTTAGCGCGTGACGTGTGGCTGTTCGCTTGTTTGTTGTCTATTTTATCGCAAAGCAAGTTTCTCACCAGTTTCCGCGCCCCTCTTCTCTCTGGTTGACTGTTTCAAAGTTTTCACATCAAAATACCACCTCCAATTTTTAATATATAAGCTATTTTGATATTAAAATATGTTTTATGAAAAAAATTTTATTTAACCCCCATTATTGACACTTAATCTCAGCCGACCTCCAAAAACGTAAATTCTAAAATTTCACTACATCTCTAATGAACAAAATTTTATGAGTGCAAAGAGAAAAATACCCTTGCTTTATTTTGGGTTATAAATTTTCTTTTTTTTTGGTATATCACCAAATTTGGATTGCAAATCGCTATTTTTTTTTTAGTTACAAAATTTTTGAGTAGTCCATTCACATCAAAATAATTGCATTTAAGGGTTGTGACTTGTGAGTTCCTTTATTTCTCTTATAAATTGTCGAATTTGGATTGCAAATAGTTGAATTTTTGCAATAAATGCTAAATTTGAGTTGTCCCTTCACACCAAAGTAATAATTAGGGTTGTGAATTTTTTTATGTTTCTTGTAAATTGTCAAACTTTAACAACCCAAATTCGACAATTTACAAGAATGTTTTTAAAACAATAAAACAAGAGTATTTTTGTCTTTCCACCCATGAAATTTTGATCCTTTTAGTGCAGTCAAATTTTATAATTTTTTGGAGGTTGACTAGGATTAATGTCTATAGTGGGAGATAAATGAAATTTTCCAATTTTATATATATTTCATATAATAATATAAATCCATAAAAATCAAACTATTCTTAATTATTAGCTCAAGCTTAATTCATGTAAAGTGCGAGTTGAGTTTATTATTTTCTATATTTGTATTATTGCTATATAAGGTGTATATTGAAGATTTTGAAAGTGATGTGACCATCATACTTCCTAATTGAATTTAAAGATAAATATATATATAAGTTGGAAAAAAATTAAAAAATTTAGAAACATAAGGTCGAATAAGTATTGTTGTAAAAGAAAATTAGAGAATTCATTTTCAAGTAAGAATAAATGACACGCTTCTGTATATTTCGGCTAAAACGCGGCATGTTTCTTAATAAAGAAGTTTTTTGTATTTTGACTATTTTATGTTACATATGGTCGTCTTACAAGAAAATATTAATAATGTTGACTTAATCTACAAGAAATTATCAACAAAAATAAAGCTATAAATAGCTCAGCTTCCCACATAAACCTTCAACATCTATCCGTAGCAATAAGCATACATACATCATTATCATTTCATTTGAAATACCTTTATACAGCCAAGTCATCTTGTATTAAGAAACCACCATGTCCGAAGGCCATCACCGCCATCACCACCACCACCACGGCCACCGCCATCACAAAGAAAAACCGGCCGGCGAGACTGACTACAAGAAGGAAGAGAAGCACCACAAGCATAAGGAACGTGTCGGAAAATTAGGAGCCGCTGCTGCTGGCGCCTTCGCGTTGGTAATAAATAACATATATATAATATCATTAAACAAAAATCATTAATTATTGTTCATGATCATGATTAATTTGAAGAAATTAACAATACAATGAAACTGTTGGTTGCAGCATGAGAAGCACAAGGCGAAGAAAGATCCGGAACATGCACACAGTCATAGGATAAAGGAGGAGATTGCAGCCACTGTTGCAGTTGGAGCCGGTGGATATGCACTTCATGAGCATCATAAAAAGAAAGAAGCAAAGAACAAACACCAAGAGGCTCATGGAAAGAAGCATCACCAATTCTTTCACTGATATTAGCTTATGGAAAAAAAAAAAAAAACACCACACACACACACACATCTCTGGGGAGCTCAACTTCTTGCTGGATTTGTTCTGTTCTGTACTATATGTGCTCTCCTGATTCGTACAAGGTATTACACTACTCAGTCTTCCTACACAAAGTAGTAATACCTTGCAGTATTAGGAGAGCATATGGAAGAACAGATTAGGAGAGAAGCTGAATTCATATTTAGATAATAATTATAGTCCCTATTTTTTATTTTATTAATTTGTTTGTGTGTGTATATGCTTTTCATACACAGCAGGAGTTTCATGATATATGTATGATTATTTATTTGTATGACTATATATGTATGTATGTATGTATGTATGTATGCATGTATGTATGTATGTATGTATGTATGAAATACAAATTTGTGTCTAATCTATTCGACCATTGTTTTCTGGTGTTGCTTTGGATTTGCTTCGCCTTACAGACAGTACACTACACACACACGTGTTGCGCAATGTTGTTAGTTTTTTTTTTAAAAAAAAAAAAAGAGGAGACAAGGGAAGAAAGAATCAAACATACAAGAATTTTTCTGATTTTCGGCAAATTAAACCTTCCAATTAAAATGACATCATCAATGTGTTTTTATTTGGTAATTGATTCTGCAATTGAGATCAAACAGTCGATTAGAAGTTAGTTGGCTATTTATTATGATAAACACTAATAACCACCTCCAATCCTAAATATAAAAATTCGATAACTAATTTATACAAATTAAATAAATTAGTTAAGTTAGTTACTATCTCTGTCTTAAAGACAAGAGCTAGTTGGATAATTAGCTTGGTCCTAAATATAATACTATCTCAATTCAGTTTGTCCATAATATTTATTCATTTTGCCCTCAAATAATCCTTATGGTGATTGAGTTTTCATCAATTGTTAGTTCCAATGCACATGATTAACAAAAGTATTTTAAAAAATACAATATATATATTTATTACAAATAACTAACTTAACTAATTTCCTTAATATTTACAAATTAGTTATCTAACTCTTATATTAAGGATAAGAGGTAATGTTAAAAATGTGTGTTAATTTTCTTTGAGTCATTTGCATGAATTGGAAAGTACTCCTCTAGTCCTAGTTATAAGATAGAGAGAAAAGATTTTTCTTTATCCTATTTATAAGTCACTTCATTAAATTTTTAACATAAAAGTACTATTTTATCCTTAATTTATTATAGTGTATATAGTTATTTCTTTTAAAAGATTTATATATTAAATAGAGGTGAAGTTAAAAAGTTGTTATATTTTAATGAAAATTTAATGCATTTTCCCCCTTTTCTAATTAAAAATTTTATTATATTTTTACACCCAAGTAAATTTTATGGTGCCCAATATTTCTTGGTGTAAACTTCATTATTAAAAATGCATCACTAATGGAGAAGTAACAGATGTTAATGATGTTATTAAAAATACTCATTTTAACAACTTGATGTATATTTTTACACCTAAAGAGACTTTATGGTGCCTAGTATCCCTTAGTGTTAGAAGTTGGAACTATTTTAAATTACTAGACTCACCGTCCACACTGGTAGTTAGAAGTTGGAACTATCCTCACCAAGTTTGACTTTTGATGTATTAGACTCGTAACTTTTTGCAAATATAGAGTCCTTATGTATTACAATATTGTAAATGGATTCGTTTAGGATATAAAAATTATGTTCGGTTCCTAATACATGACCCTTGTTAATATCAAAAGGTTGGCTATAAACATGATATATGGAAATTATAAACCCCTAAAGACCATTTTAAAATAGATTATTTCAATTTACATGCACTAAAACATTTCAATTGTAAATTTCAAAATGCTGAGTAGAAACATGTTATAAAACATGTCATGTAAATGGATTCTTTCATTATCACCTAAAATAGATTAATTATAAGAAAAAGTATATTCCATTCTTTTTCACTGCTCTTTCATTCCCTTTTGCAATTTGATTGTTAGAGTTTTTTTCTCCTTATAAATATCCTAGCTGGCTTTTAGGTTACTTTCAATATTATATATAGAAAAACATTAATTTTTGCAATTTGATTAGAATATGGCCTAATTCATCCTCAGTGCATTCGACCCAAACCCATTTAAGTTGGGGCCGGAATGCAAATGAAAGAAAACTCAGATCGTTAGCCATAATATCCACCATGTCATTTGAATTTGCTTGGTGGGAACCGTCAATATAAGTGGGATGAGAGTGAAGAGTATAAAGAAAAAAATGAACACATGCTGGCATAATATATCTAGTAAGGAAATACCATCTCTGATCTCATTTAAAAGACCTTATTTATAGACTACAAATAAAATTTTATAATTAGGATTAGAGGTAGTACTCTCTAGTCAGTCTGAGTAGAAAACACTTCTTATCTCAGTACCCTTTGTTGTATAACAAAACTCTGACTCCTTTCTGTGGTCTGATCGCGTATGAGCTTATTTACGGTTCCTGATACACTCCAAAAACCCTTAATCTATGTTGTCCCTGAGCCTAGATTTCTAGATCTATAAGCAGATGAATCATGAATTATGAATTGATTTTTATAAGACTTCGGATGTTGAAAGGGTATGACAAATACACACGCCTTTTTTTTAATTAGCGCGTGACGTGATTTTCTGTACACACACACACATTGTGCTTGTTCGTTGGCTATTTCCTCAGTTCCAACTTCCAAGCCTTTTATCACTATTTTCCGCGTCTCTCTTCTCTCAGGTTGACTGATTCAAAGTTTACTCATCAAAATATATTTATATATATATTTCATGTGATAATATAACATTCATAAAAATCGAGCTATACTCAGTTGTTATACCCCAGACTTAGTTTTTCATTATTTTCTATATTGGTATTATTGCTATATACGTACGGAGTATGTCGAAGATTCAGAAAGTGATGTGATCATCACATATACATCCTAATTGAATTTAAAGATATATGCAAACAGATAAATCATTTTCATGCAAAAACAAACGGCATGCTTCTATACGGGAAGGAAGAGAAGCACCACATGCATAAGGACCATCTCGGAAAATTAGGAGAAGTTGCCGCCGGAGCCCTTGCACTGGTTGTAATATATATGTGTGTGTGTGTATATCAACACAAAGTTATCTGCAGTTAATCATTGTTAAACATTGTTCATAATCATGATTAATTTGAAGAAATTAACAATATAATGGAACAGTTTGTGTTCATTACAAGCACAAGGCGAAGAAAGACCCAGAACATGCAGAGAGTCGCAAGATAAATTAAAGCAGGAGATTGCAGCCACTGTTGCAGTTGGAGCTGGTGGATATGCGTTTCATGAGCATCACAAAAAGAAGAATCCAAGAAGAAATACTAAGAGGCTCATGGAAAGAAGCATCACCATTTCGTTCATTGATTTTAACTTATCAAGAATATATATATATATATATATATATATATATGGCTTTGGGGTGCTCAACTTCTTGCCTTGTTTATTCTGTGTGTTCTGTACTATATATGTTCTTCCGATCCGTGCAAGGTATTATACGTACAGTATTCTTTGTTCCTACTCAATGTAGTAATACCTTGCACTATTAGGAGAAGATATGCGAAAGAACAAACTGGGAGAGAAGCGGAGAATTCATTTTTGGATAACAATTATTGTCTCTACTTTTGGATTATTGATTTGATTTGTTTATGTATATGATTCATTTGCACTACAGCAAGAGTTTATGACTTTATATATACACTACCTCTGGTCCTCAATATAAGAGGTAGATAACTAATTTATGAATATTAAGAAAATTAGTTAAGTTAATTATTTTGTAATAAATAGATGTTGTCTTTTCTAAAATATCTTTGTTAATCATATGCAATTGGATTACCTCTTGATAGTAACTTTTTAATAGATACAATCACCAAAGGGATTATACTTGAGCATAAAATGAATAAATATTAGAGACAATATGGATCGCTCTTATATTAAAAACCGAAGGTAATATTAAATACAAATTTGTGTCTCTATTCGACAATTGTTTTCTGGTATTGTTTTGGATTTACTTCATCCTACAGACATTGCCCTCGTTAGGCATTTTGTATTGCTGTAGGACATTGCTTAATTTCTGTGTGATAATGTCTGTTAATTACCAGTTTCAGTTACATGTTGCCCCAAGTAGTTAGTTGAAAACGAGAGATAAGGAAAGATAGAATCAAACACTACAAGAATTATCGCCATTTTATTCCCTGACCTATGTCCAGTTCGCTTTAGAATATATATTTTTTTCCAATTATGATAATCTAATCACAATTGTACCTGTAGGTTTTGTGCTCCGCTCGCTTAGAACTCTTATAACTCTAAGGTTTTGTTTGGTATGAAGTATTGAAAATGAGAGATTCAGATTACAATTGAGAAAAATCATTAAAACAGTATTTAGCATGAGTAATTGCTTGTTATATAAGATTAGGCAAGCCCATAAGGGTGAGATCGGGAAATACCACTTCCCCCTATGGTATTCCTTAATCCTATATTCGTGGGTTTAGCTAATCCCTTGCAACAAGCAATCTTTTATGTTCAATATTCTTTTAGTAGATTTTTCTTAATCCCAATCTCAATCCCTACCCCTAAATTTTAATGCTTCCTATCAAACAATACCTAAGGGTTTTTTTGGTACGAGGACTTGAATTCTAAGGGAATGGGATTCGAAGTGGGAGTTGGAGTGGGAATGAGAATAGATTTTAAAATTATGTTTGGTATGAAGTAATATTTGGGGATGTTTATATCAATTATATTTTATATTCAGTCAAACTATACAAAGACTCATATGCCCCTATAATAAACAAAAATAGGAGTTTATGAAATATTAGAGGAACAATTTGGTAAAAATAATGTTTCGTCCCATAAATGATCTTCTAATACCATGAGAGGTGGTAGTATTACGCAATTATTAGTATTGTTTAGTGTCTCATATCCAACATATTAAAATGAGCTATAGCAATGTTAATACCAATCCCAACCCTCCTAATGCTCCATAGCAAACAAAGCCTAAGGTCCTATTTGGTATGAAGCATTGAGGGTTATAGATAAGAATTGGGATTGGGATTAAAAAAACATATTAAAAGAGTATTTGATGTGAGAGATTATTTGCTACTTGAGATTGAGCAAATCCATGTATGTATGATTGAAGAATGTCACTTTTCTCTAGGGTATTTCTCAATCCCTCCTATATAAATTTGTCCTATCCCAAGTAGAAAGCAACAACTCATGTCAAACACCTTTTTAAAGAATTTTTTCAATCCTAATCACATGTCATCTTTCATTGCCAATGTTTTGTACCAAACAATACCTAAGGTTTTGCACAAGCTCAAACAAGACTAAGAAAACAGATGAAAAAATAGTTTCTTAGAAAAATGCTTTCAACAAGAAAATGGCGAAATTTTTAAGCACACAAATTTCCAGATTACAATATTGATATTTCGAAAAGCACATGATGAAGCTTGCAACGATAATGGTCTGTTCGATCTGTTCTATATTTTTCATAGCCAATCCTTCATCTTTCTATATTTGAAGCTTTTGAACTTGAACGTTGATGGGGCTCCTCCATGAATTTACAAATCATGCACAAATCTTCTTTTCATTCTTGGTCCAACGACTATAATTTTCTCTTTAATCATTCTTGTGAATTATTCTTTGTTTCCTAATTCTGAAATAAAGACAATAATCTCAATTCATCAAGATTTATTTGGTTCAAAAATATCAAATATTATTTAAATGATTTTAATAAATTTGTTATCATAAAACTAATAGCAGCTTAACTTTGAAAGTCAATGGTTCAGTTCTCAACATTGTATATCCACAATTATAAATTATTTCATATATTTAAAAAAGGCAAAGAATAAAAATAAATTTTCAATAGCGGATGTTAAAAATAATGACATATAAGTATAAATAAATATATTAAAACTAAATATAGACGAAACAAAATCAATTATTGTAAAGATGCACCCAAGGCGAGCCTTGTTCCCAAGCTTATGAAATTCTAGTCTTACCCGCCTATCTTGGACCCGAGAAATGGCTGAAATGGGTTAAAACCCAAACAGAAATCAAACTCAGCCTTTTGCTTCCCGTTACACTTTCGAATCCCAGAAGAGATAGAGACTGTATTAAATGGGCCTAATGCTTAATTAGATGGGTTTAAGTGGCAGGAAGTAATGAAATCATAAGAATGAGAAGCTAGTCTCTCATAACTTAACGAACCAAAATTTAAATCTTTCTTAAAATAGCTGTTAATATCTAATGCCTAATAGTATCTCGAACAATACTACCTTCAATAGAAAGATACATATGCCTAGTAAAAACAAAAAAACAACAAGAACGGGTGAATATTTTTGAAAATCAATTAGGTATAAGTTATTAATCCATCAATCAATCAATACTCCTTCCCTTTTTCTTTTTTAATAAGAGACAATTATCCGGACTACAGTGATAAAAAAATGGCAAATGAAAAGTATATATTTGATAATTTAACTTTATATAGGATTTCAATTTCGTCTCAATTTTAAAAAAGTTTTTTTAGTCCTTTAATCTTAAAATCATCAGTCTTAAACGATGATTTTTTTATAAAAATTGTGATTATTTTGAAAATTAAATTTAATATGTTAGCAGCAGTTTGAGATTTTTTTTTCAGGTCACTCATTCCCTTGCAGCAATTTATCTTGAGATTTTGGTCTTTTAGGGCTCTCTAAAAGTCCTAATGTGTCAAGAGCTCAAATATGAGTCCTAGCCAGACTCAGTCTCCTATAAATACCCTTTTGTCTACGCTATCTTTAACAAGTTGAATGAGGAGAACTAATCAATTTCTTTTGTCATGAGCATTGTTTATTTTTAGTGTCCTGAATTAAATAATCTTGTGATGATTTGTTTCATCTTTGCAGCGGTGGTTGGAGCCATATCTTCACCTGGTTTCTAGATCTACAAGCAGGCGAACTATACGTTGATTTTTATAATAATTGCGACCTTGAAGGGTATGAAAAAAATACACACACTATTTGTTTTGGTTAAGCTAAATCCAGTAACTCGAAATATAATTTGTCAAGTGCCTTCAACATTCTAAGGTATTTTGTTGTACATCCACCATCCAAAATATTTTGTATTGTAATTTTACTCTTAAAGTATTAATTTTTTCAAAAGCAATTTTTTAGGTATTATTTCATAAAGTATTATTTCATAAACAATTTTAATTTCGTCATTAATTCTCAAATGGTCAAATGCATGTATATCACAAAATATCTTAGGACGATGGGTAAAATGTTTTAAGGTGATGGGTGTATCCAACTTTTTTTTTTTTCATTAAATTAGCGCGTGCCGTGTTTTGTTTCTCAGCTCCAAGCCTCCCACGACTATTTTCCGCGTCCCTCTCCCCTTCGGTTGACTGTTGTCGAAGTTTATATTGGTTAGCGGTTTTATAAGCACACGCATCAAAATATATTTCCTATGTATTCCACGTATTAAGACAAAATCCATAAAAAAAAATCACGCTGTCTTAATTATTGCTCAGATTTAATGCAAAAGTTTGAGTTAATACATTTAATTTACTTTTTGTATTTTTATAATAGTATGTTGGTACGTACATCATTGCAATATACCGAGTATATATATTGAAGGATTTGGAAAGAGTGATGTGATCATCATCATACCTCCGAATTGAATTTAAACACAAACATATATATAAGGTGGCAAAAAGCAAACAAGATATATGAAGTAGAATATATATTATTGAATCTGGCAAAAAAAGAATATATATTATTGAAAAGGAATAATGCTTCTATTTTGCCTAATTAAAACGCGGCATGCTTCTTCTTAAGAAGTTTCTGAGAAGGCGTATTATTTAGCCTATTATACGTTATGTTTCATGGACGGTCGTCTTACAAACAAATATTAATAATGATGACTTAATCAATAAGAAATTATCATAAAAAATAAACCTATAAATACCTTAGCCTCCCACATAAACCCTCAACATCGATCCAAAGCAATAAACATACATCATTATCATTATCATTTGAAATAGCTTCCCTTTATACAGCCAAGTCATCGACCACCATGTCCGAAGGCCATCACCACCAGCATCACAAAGAAAATCCGGCCAGCGAGATTGACTACAAGAAGGAAGAGAAGCACCACAAGCATAAGGAAAATCTCGGAAAATTAGGAGCTGTTGCTGCTGGCGCCTTCGCATTGGTATATATATAATATCATTCAACATAAGTTGATATGCAATTAATCATTAGTTATGGTTGATAATCATGATTAATTTGAAGAAATTGACAATATAATGAAACTGTTGGTTGCAGCATGAGAAGCACAAGGCGAAGAAAGATCCAGAACATGCACACAGTCATAAGATAAAGGAGGAGATTGCAGCCACTGTTGCAGTTGGAGCTGGTGGCTATGCGTTTCATGAGCATCACAAGAAGAAAGAAGCCAAGAAGAAAAGCCAAGAGGCTGATGGAAAGAAGCATCACCATTTCCTTCACTGATATATATATATATATATATATATATATTAGCTTATGAAGAATATATATATTTATATATATATTGATCCGGGGAGCTCAACTTCTTGCTGGATTTGTTCTGTTCTGTACTATATATATGCTCTTCTGATTCGTACAAGGTATTACACTATTCAGTGTTCCTACACAAAGTAGTAATACCTTGCAGTATTAGGAGAGGATATGTAAGAACAGATTAGGAGAGAAGCTGAATTCATAACTGGATAATAATCATAGTCCCTATTTTTTTATTTTATTAATTTGTTTGTGTGTATGTATTTGCTTTATATACAAGGAGGAGTTTTGTGATATATGTATGATTATTTATTTGTATGACTTTATATATATGTATGTGTGAAATACAAATTTGTGTCTGATCTATTCGACAATTGTTTTCTGGTGTTGCTTTGGATTTGCTTCCCCTTACAGACAGTACACACGCACATGTTCCGCAATGTTGTTAGTTTTTTTTTTTTTTAAAGAAAAAAACAGTAGATAAGGGAAGGAAGAATCAAACATACAAGAATTATCCTGATTTTGGGCAAATCAAACCTTCCAATTAAAATGACATCATCAATGTGTTCTTGTTTGGTAATTGATTCTGCAATTGAGATCAAACAGTCCATTGGAAGTTGGTTGGCTATTTATTTATGATCAACACAACCTCCAATCCTAAAAATAAAAATTAGATAACTAATTTATATAAATTAAATAAATTAGTTAAGTTGAGTAATACTTCCTGTATTTAATATAAGAGTTAGTTGGATAATCAATTTGATCTTAAATGTAATATCTTAATCCACTTTGTCTATAATATTTATTCATTTTGCCCTCAAGTAATCCTTATGATGATTGAGTTTTTATCAATTGGTAGTTCATATGATTAATAAGGGTATTTTAGGAAGTACAATATATATTTATTACAAATAACTAGCTTAACTAATTTCCTTAATATTCACAAATTAGTTATCTAACTCTTATATTAAGGGCTAAAAGTAGTGTTAAAAATGCATGTTAGTTTTCTTATAGTCATTTGCATGACTTGGAAACTACTCCTCCAGTCCTATTTATAAGATAGAGAGAAAATTATTTTTTAATCTTATTTATAAGTCACTTTCTTAAATTTTTAGCATGAATATACTATTTAATCTTTCATTTATTATAGTGTAGATAGTTATTTCTTTTAAAAGATTTATATACCAAATAGGGGTAAAGTTGAAAAGTTATTATATTTTAATGAAGAGTTAAAGCATTTTAAGGGTTTTTTTTTTGTCCGTGTGAAATATAATAGAAGTGTCTTATAAATAGGACCAAATGAGTACTTCTTAATCAAAACCTCCTTAATAGATATAATCAATAAGTAAATACAAATTTGAGAAACAAAATGAATTGAATTTTTATAATTGGGACCAAAACTAACCCACCTCACTCTAAAAAACAGGAAATTAGTAATGTAATTTCTGTTCCTAATTGACGATGGATTAAAAATGTAAAAAAAATTTTATTAATCTATTGGCAATCCATTGCTAATTAGCAATCGAATTCATAATTCTATTGACAATTTCATCATTAATTAAATTTTGTCGACAATCAAAATTTCGTCACTAAATCACATTGCCAATTTTAAAGGTAACCGGGGGTTAGAAGTTGGCTGCGGAAAACATGATCCCAAACATGAGATTTGGACCTGAAGTAGCTTTGCTGACGGCTAGAAAGTGGGCTTGGGTCACTGAAACATGATACCAAACATAGTCATAAACAGCTACATTAAGTAGCCGTCTTTCTTACCCCAAAAAAAAAGGTGGATGTACGTCGCATCCTAAAAATTTTTACCTGGCTATAAGAGATTAAAAATTAGGATGAGGATCAATGTAGGAACTAGATAGGAAGACGAAACAACTTTTGATGTAAAACCCTGATAAAGTCCGAGCTGATTATCGGTCTAGAAAGAGTAAAACAAGAAAATTTGAGAAAAATTCTAGAAAATTTCCAAAACATAATAAAAGTATTAATTAAAAGTTTTGAAAAATTGGTTGAGGCCTGAAAGATGGAATTACGGTGAAAATAAATTGTTATGGAATTTCCCGTAAACAGAGATTTTTCAGAAAAATATTAAAAAATAAAAAATAATAATTATTTCAAGTAATTGGAGGCCTCAATAAATTTAGAAGAAATATGGATAATTCATATAAATATTTATTAGAATTTATAAAATTATTTTTAGGCCTTGAAAGTTCAGGAATTAATTTTAAGGAATTTATTTTCCCTTAAATTTACCGATAGAGACATAATCGGAGAAAATTCAAAATAAATATCTAGATGTGGAAAAAAATTATAAAAATTTTCAGATCATTTTATCATATTAAAAGGTGAATTATCATGGAAAGAAATGAATTTTTAGGGGTCTGAAAAAATTATGAAATGTTATTAGTGAATAGTAACCGATAAAGTTTAAAATTGGTTTAAGATAGTGATTTGGTTTGTGGGTCATCTTTTTGGACCAGCCCAAACCTTTTGTGGGACCCACATTGAGCCTAATAAGGACCCAATTTGGTACATATTCCAAGTCCCTCTATTTTTATTGAAATAAATGTGAAATTAAGGGATATTTGTGTGGAAAAATCTAGAGAAAAATCACATGGTGAGATATGAAGGTTTGAGGCACTTGATAGCTGCCAACTCACCCCATTTTTCTGCCATTTGGTCATCCAAAATCAGGGGGGGAGGCAGCTTAATGTTTTTCTATAAATACCCCCTTAGAAAATACAAATAAATGTTGGAAAAATTGGAAAAATAAGGGGAGACTCTGTCATTATAGCTCCAGCCCTGTTTCTTCAAAATTCTTGAGTGTTTAGGTAAGGAATCATCCAACTTACACTAAGAAAACATTAAGGTATGTCTAAGCATCATTATCCTTAAATTTTACATTGATTGGATTAGGATTTTGGCTTTGTGATGCTTAGGAAAGGATAGAAACCTTAATAATCAAGTGGAATAAGGAAGATTAAGTGGTGTATGGATGGATTTTTGGATGAAATCAAAGTTAGGGTTTAAGGGTAGGAATTTTGGTCAGTACTATTTATGTAGGAGCTGATTGTTTTGGCTTGATTTGATGATTTCAATGGCTTTAAAACATGTTTTTGTGTAGGGATATGTGATTGGAAAGTGTTTAAAATCGTAATTTTTGGAAATATATAACCCCCTATTTGTCCAGTCACTGTTCATGGGGGAAGAGTTTGAATTTTAAAAATCTGATTGCATCATTGAATTCCTAATGAAAAATTTTGTAGGATTAAGCAATGAGGTTATTGATTCTAAAGGAGGAATCATATGATTAAAAATCAAAGAAAAAGGGGGAATTATTGAGTTAAAGTTTAAGAGTTGTATTTAAGTGATGTAGGAATTAATGTGGCCCATGTTTATGTTTGGTTTAATAGGCATTGTGAGGAGGAACCAAGAGGAAGCTTTGTTCTTGGAGTAAGCAATTGGACAAGTATTAAAAATGTAGCTTTGAATTATAATTTGATTGTTAATCTTGCTTGTTTAATGTGATTTGTTGTTTGCTTGGATAGAGGAACTTGTGTTGTGGCATGAATTGGTTAAATAACATTAGTTTATGCTTTGGCCAAATGCATTGAATTATGCCATTATGGAAGTGTTGATGTTCCTCTGTTAGCATGGCATTAAGCATGATTCTATGTGATTGATTATGCCTTGAGGTATGATAACATGTCACATGATAACTTGCTTGATTTGCATAATAATTGTAATTCAAATGCTATTGAGATTTCATAGAAATCTCATTCCTCCTATGTTAAATTATGTCTCAAATAGGGAATAATTCATCCGATGGCAAGGGCAAGGAAATGGTGTTGGGATAGAAGAGCTTTGTGAATGTCATATTGTTTGGAATATTATGTGATGTATTATCCAACTTTATGCCAAGTTTGTAATGGATTATAGATAGTAATATGATGTAAATTATGTTTGTATGACATACTCAAAGGCTAAAATTCTGAATGGTGCAATGTTAAAAGAGTCCTTGTTTATTACAATATTGTAAATGGATTCTTTGAGGATACAAAAATTATGTTCGGCTTCTAATACATGACACTTGTTAGTATCAAAACGTTGGCTATAAACATGATATATGAAAATTAATCCCTAAAGACCATTTTAAAATAGATTATTTCAATTTACATGCACTAAAGTTCAGACTATAAAGCATTTCAATTGTAAATTTCAAAATGCTGATTAAAAACATGTTATAAAACATGTCATGTAAATGAATTCTTTCATTATCACCTAAAATAGATTAATTATAACAAAAAGCATATTCCATTCTTTTTCACTGCTCTTTCACTCCCTTTTGCAATTTGATTGTTAGAGTTTTTCTTCTCCTTATATATATCCAGCTGGCTATTAGGTTACTTTTAATATTATCCATAGAAAAACATTAATTTTTCTACTGCCTTAAGTATATTTCTTTGTTAGAATATGGCCTAATCCATCCTTAGTGGATTAAATCCAAACCCATTCAAGCTGGGGTCAGAATGCAAATAAAAGAAAACTTAGATCGTTAACCATAATATTCACCATGTCATTTGAATTTGCTTGGTGGGAACCGTCAATATAAGTGGGATAAGAGTGGAAAGTATAAAGAAAAAACTATATGCATGCTGGCATAATATACATAGTAAGGAAATACTATCTCCCATCCTATTTATAAGACATCGTTTATAGACTACAAACAAAATTTTATAATTAAGATCGGAGGTAGTATACTCTCTATCCAGTCTAAGTGGTGTTTGGCAAACTTGCAAAAATCACTTTTGGAGTCCCCAGGGCCGGCCCTTCAGGGCTGGCGGGCTTAAAAGGGCCGACCCTCCAGGGCTGAAATTTTAAAAATACCCCAATTTGCTAAGCCCGGCCCTTAAGCTACAGGGCCAGGGCCGGCCCGCGGGCTTTTGGCCCGTTTAAGAAAAAAATACTATTTTTTATATTTATCATATTTTTTATAAAAATATAAAAATAAACCAATGAAATTATTAATAAAAGACATAAATATAATAAAATATTATTATATATAAATATTCATCAATCTCTAAGAACATCTAAAACATTCATTAACAAAATAATAACATTTAAAAGTTTTATCTATAATGCAATTGTGTAATAAATAAACATTATCATTAATCTTTTGAAACTTCATCATCACTATAATTAATTATTTTTCTTCATAAGTATGCTTTTCTTTCGTAACAAAAATATCAAGTTTTTCTTCTTTATAAGAATTTTATTTTTACATTTTGCAATATAACTATTATTTTACTTTAATGTGAGAAACATTGTTGTTAAAACTCATGAATTTCTAATTTAAATTATAGAATCACAAGTTATATAAGTATAAAAATATTCTATTATCA